TGCATATTTAATTATTAATTTGAATTCTTGCTAATATCTTGTAAACTACTGATAGTTCAAATGAGACCAAAGTTGGTATAGACTTACTTGATATGTCGATATAGGGTATGTGCTTTGTAATGTTGATTTTCAACTTAACCTTTCTACCCGATTTTATACATATGCATTTAAACTTTATAATTCATAGCCAACTATAATCACATCTGACAAGTGGAGGCTGTGTCATCTTCAGATGACTTATTAATGTCTCCAATACACTTGTATTCAATTTTTCTGGAAATGAATGCTAATTTTGGCGCCAAGATCTACACACAGTAAACTAACTTAGAGTGTACATGATTCACATTGACTAGATCAATACTCTCATATGGTAAACCAGGATTGTATGGTTATAATCCACACATTACATCTGGTTATCTACACACAGTAAACCTGCTTAGAATTCACATTGACTGGATCAATACTCTCACATGGTGAACAAGGATTGTATGGTTATAACCCACACATTGCATCTGGTTAACTACACAAAGTAAACCTGCTTAGAATTCACATTGACTGGATAAATACTCTTACATGGTGAACCAGGATTGTATGGTTATACTCCAAACATTACATTGGTGCTACCTCAGGCCTTGATGTGTCCCTGTATATAATAATTACAAGTATCATTAAGAGCAGCATAATAATAACAGCATCTATATATCAATCCAATAATAGTACCGGTATATAGATTGTATGTACATGTATATTTTAAACATTTAGGCCCAAATTTTTTATTCCTCATTTCTCGAGTTGTTATAAGGCAATTTTTTTTTAGGAGGGCGAAAAAAAAATAAAATTAATTCTGTTTTTTCCATTAGATTTGTGTGATTCTCAAAGAATTGTAAGAATGATCATTGATCGGAGAAAAGAAATGAAATAAAATTTTATTCGATGTATAACCTTGTTTCTCATCTGCGCGAGACTTCGGTACTTTGATCATGATACTCCCACGAAAATGCAACTCCGGTTTGTTATGTGGCGGGCGAAAAAAAATGAAGATAAAAATAAGTTTATTTTAGCAATTTTTTGCACTTACAAGTCGGCGGCGTCAGAAATTACGCTGAAAGAAAATTTTATTTTTATTTCATTTTCGGCTCCTGTTCATTCGGCGGGTTCGCGAAACAAGGGATTATAAAAGTCTGGCCTTATGCCCTCAGTGCTCATACCCAAATTCTCAATGTCGGTGAATGGCATTCATTGGTGTTTTGTTTTATAACTCCGCTGAACCTATTTATCATCCTAGATATGATTATCAATTGTGAGAACAGTTTATATAATCGAGAGAAGCGGATTGATTTTAGAAACCACATCTGGCATCAAAATGGCTTTGGTTGACCATTGACGCTGCAGGTCGGCGTCCTCTCATCACCAATCTGACGCATATGACACAAGTCTGTGCTGAGATAGCGCTTCCTGTGACAACAACGCTGGTTGACACAATGCACGATTTACTCATGGATGTGGTTCTGGTAAGAGTTAAAACTGATTGCCAATCTTTGAAATGGACATTAATTTTAGATGATTAAATTTGAAAGCAACAAGCAGCCTGTCGGCTGAGATAGCTCCGCTGTTAGCAAGGCACATTTCAATTAAAGAACTGAAGACATCATTAGAAAATGAACAATATGTATAGTATCAAAGCAATCGGACTTACAGTTTTTAACAAGAAGTCGAAAATATCACTTTCTACCAAAAATGACAAAAATATTCACCAAAATTAGAGAATTGAAGATATCAACATGAAATGAACAAACCTAAGAGAGGTCTACCCAAGGTACATGTACACCAAGTATCAAAGCATTCAGGCTTGTAGTTTTCAAGACGAAGTCGAAAAAGTAAAACATTGACACGGACGACGGACAATCACTCATATGATAAGCTCCGCTCGAAAAAGTCGACAGCGGAGCTAAAAAAATTGTTGTTTCCATTGGGTGTTATTCTTGTTGTCCAAAAAACCCAGAACAAAAACTGGAACCGGAACCGGAATGTGAAATTAAAAATATGTGGAAGCAACAAGGATGTCACAGGACTTAAGTGTAACACATCGACCCAAGACCTGAAGTGCGCCCTCAAGCGGAAACATCGTAAGCAGGTGCTTTCTGCCTAATATTTCATTCACTACAAATTGCGATTATAATAAAATAAATAATATTAATAATATCAGAGGTACATTACTTGGGGTTTGCAACGCGCATAGTATAGTATGGTGACATCATGTCAAGATCCCATTCAAGTCTCATCTCGTAGATAGCGAGACTGGTGCTACGACCTTCTGACATGAGATAGGCGGTTTGTAACAAAATAATAAAACATGTATAACCACATTCATAGTGATAAAATGTAATACATCGAAAATGTACAGAAAATATAGTTATCGTAATCCGTCATATCGTGAGCAGCTATTTTGATCCACCTGGACATTCCAGTATCTTAGTTACCTCGGGCATGCGCATTTGATTTTTTCTGAGTTGGAACGCTTATGCGAGAGCGAGATTTAAATGGGATCATGTTATCATGTCACCGTAGTTGCAAACCCCAAGTAATGTACCTCTGATAATATACAAACTAGGTCCATTAATGCATTATCACTTATATTAAACAACCCGTATGTTGAAATATTTTTAATTTAACGTTACGGTTATTCTGCAAGTCTGACCAGGCTTAATGAAGTCATAAACCGGTTTGTTTGGTGATAGGATATGCTAATTGCAAACAATATAGCCTAAGTACATTTACAGTCATCTTTCTGAGAAAAATGAATTGAGATATATAAAATATATATATGCGGGCAGGGACATATTGATTAGAAATCAAATCTTGGTGAACACAGTTTTGTAACAACTCTACACTTCTGTTCACAGTCAGTGTTTATTGGCGATCCGCTCCGCTAGGATTGCCCTTATAATCACTTTTGTGTGTGTGTGTCTGTGTGTGTACATTTCCAGTGTTCCAGTGTTCACGTATTATTTCTTCTGTGACTTTTTTGGCTTGGCCGATTTCGTTTAAACTTGGCAGGTAGGTCACACCTTAACCCTAGTTACAAGGAAAAATCTGAAAAATTTTTTTGGACCACCGTTGCCATAGCAACAGCCAAAAAACTGATTTTTGGATAGCTTCGCGCCAAATGTATCTCCTCCTACAAATTTGGGATAAAACACTTCAGACATAGCTCATTCTACTCAGCTTGAGTGTGGGCACAAAGTTACCATTTGAATTTTTGATATCTGTTTTCATTACCGAGAAATTTGACCCCAAAGTTGGGGTAACTTTTCACCAGCAACGGCTCGGCTTGTTTTGTTCATACTTCACAGGTAGGTCGTGCCGTCACTAATTGGAAAACAATCCTGGCCCACCACTGCCATTGCAACATCCAAAAACTGATTTTTGAATACTTTCGCCCCAAATGTATTACCTCCTACCAGTTTTGTACACAGTCAGCTGGCATCGGTGTCACTGGGTGTATATGATAAAGGGAAGTTGTGCAACCAAATTTGCCGAGTTCGCAGTTTTTCGCCAATAAAAAAATAACTAAGGCAACAACTCACGGTTTTTCAGCATTTTTGTAATAAAGACATTATTCTCTATCAATAGTCCGTCCAAAATAGGAACATTTCAACTAATTCTTGTGTTTTTTAGACGTTTTTCGAAAAACCTGCTATTAGGCTGCAAAAGTAGAACATTCCGGAGGGGCGAAAGGGAAAAGCCAAATTTAACGTGTAAAAATAGAACGC